ACCAATAGCAAAGCTTCTCTTTTTGACCGGCATTATCATGCCAGATCAGAGGCATTCCCCCAAATTGAGACAAGGCTGGAGAGAGCATTGCGATAGCTTCATTCCTGGTTTCATTTCAACAGTTGGATCTATGTCCAATGTCTTCGCTTTATCTTTGTTGCCAAGATATTGCCAAGAGGGTTCAAAGCCCAGTTTAAGTATTTAATAACCTTAGTGATACCTTCTGATTGCTGACAGAGATTGCTAGCCATTCAGCCCCTCACCTTGGTATTGGGGAAGGATTGGAAGAAAGAAGAATTGTGCCTAGGAATCAAATTTTGAGAACAACTTCTTGATCAGAGACCAGCATTTTGATCTGAAGACTCTTGAGTTACAAATATAGTTCTTTCTAAGGCCAAAGAAGCAAATAGGAGACCTGGTAACAATTGTGAATGCATTATTGGAGTTAAATTTGGATCAGCAATGGAGGGAAGGCTAGTTATTTTGGCCAAAATATTTGGAAATAAACCACTTTATACTTGGCCAAAATACTTGGAAATAAACCACTTTAGGAAGGTCTGGTCTGTGAAGCTCCAGTTGAAAGTTCATCTTAGGTATGAATTTGTTTTGCCTACGATGGGGAAGTAAGTTTGATTTACAAGTATTTTGCTCTGGTAGAAAATATTGGATTATTGAAATATGCTTTATTGGCCAAGTGTGATTAGACACACAAGGAATTTGTCTCCAGTGTAGAAGCTCTCAGTGTACCTACAAATAGCAAAGTGATAAATCATAGATCATAAATCATGAGATACAATCATAAATCATAAGATACCGATAGGAGAAGGCAGTAGGAAGGATGAGAAGACAAGAAAGATGAAAAGGATAATAGCAACGCAGCTCTACTACATGCCCTACTATGGGCATGACTTTTTTAAAAAAAATATCTTGACATTTCCCTTGAGTTGTGCTTGACTTTTAGTCACGTCTGTCAGGTTCTATTTATTTATTTATTTATTTATTAATTCAATTTATATCCTGCCCTTCTCCTTACCGGACTCAGGGCGGCTGACAGCCTTATAAAACCAATGCTACAATAAATACCTAATTTAAAACCGAATTAAAAAGAAATATTTGTTATGGCCTATATAATTAAAATTTCTCTTAAAAACCCCACTAAAATTCCCTAGGCCAATCCCGCTTGTTGGAAGAGCCATGTCTTTAGGGCGCGGCGGAAGG